ATAAATTAACAGACCAATTTTATAACTGCTTAATCAGTTATATCTATATAAAATGCCATTGCAAAGGATATGAGCAGAAATGACAGTGATTTCTTGTAGCTTCGAGTACTTATTCCTCTAAACGTATTTGAAATACTTGAAAACTCGTTTATTATTAGACCATACATTACGTTTCAATAATATTGAACATATTTAGATACTATCCTGTAAAATGATGTGTTGAAAATATTTGTTTCAGGCTATCAAAAAAGAACTGAAGCCTACAGGGAACCCAATCTCCAGTAAACCTGAAATTAATAATTAATACTTGAATGTAGATTTATTAAATGTAATAAATCAAATAATGGCATTATTTGGGTTTATCTTATATTATAGGTAAAGTATATACAAGTACATGAAACTACTTAGCCAATTGAGATTTTCATATACGGAAAAGCTGAAACTTTTTCATAAAAATATCACTTTGATTATAAAAGTGGGGGAAAAATGTGGATGGTGTCAAGAACATATCACCGAAAACATAGAAAACCTGTTAATGCAATGCCCCAGACTAAGTATTGATAGAGAAAAATACCTAGGAGATTATATTGTCCAAAACAATAAACAATTATATCTAGAAAATCTTCTAAATATTGAAAGAACGGACAAACTAAATAACATCTATTTTTTTTTTTTTTTTTTAAACTATATGTAGGTATTTAGAGTAAGGACTATATTATATTATTTTAGTAATAACCATTTAATTATTTATATGTATATAGCTTTGAGAATAACTATTTAGTGTAGTTCTATTTATGGAGTATTGGGAATGAAAGAGAGAGGAGGAGAAGGAGAGAGGGAAAAGAAACAAAAGAAAAAAGGTCTAATTCGATATATTATTGTATAATTAATTAATTTCCAGATATACACATTTTATATTGTTTTGGGTTTTAGAAATAATTATCTAATTGTTTATTTATTCTATTTAATTATTGGGAATATATATAAATATTTTATTTTGTTTTTTCTCTTTCAATTCGTTGTATTATTGGATTATATTGCGAGGTTATAATAAGTAATTGGAATTTAAAAATGTATACATATTTATATCTTTATTTATTTATGCTTTGTTTATGCTTTCATTGCCATTCAACACTAACAACTACTAACACCAAATGATGTATATAATAGCCAACATAAAAAAAAATAAATAAATAAAGAATATAATTATAATTTTAGAAGTTATTCAGGGGAACATTCAATATATAATACTATTTATTATAGCATTATTTTATTGCATTTGCTAACGTATATGTATATACAAGTACATAATAATTCTAACAGTTTGAGGCATTCGTTGGCTGAAAAATTTTCAAGAATTGAGAAATATCTGATTTGCAATAAAGTTTATTCCTTAACTAATTCTAATTCCAAACTAATTATTTCCAATGCATATTGAAAACAAGGTTTCATTTTATTTATTTAATGTTTATTCCCTTAATTATTTGTTTAAGAATAGTTGGACGGTATTTAGTTCAGAACTGTATTATTGCAAATAATTTTCAACAAAGAAGAAACATCTCTTGTCTCATGAATCTTCAATTGAAAATGAAAATAAATAAAGGAAGGAGATTGTCCGGGGTGATGGTCATAAATAGACTAAATAGTGTTAAAGCTATTTTATTAAAAACCAACGTTTCGACCCGACTTTGCAGGTCTTCTTCTTCGGAAGTTACATCATATTTACATAAAAAATTATAAAAAACATGAATAATCTTATAAAAATAATAAACAGTAAGTACATTAAAATATTAAGAACAATAAGTTGTATAAACAGAGTAAGCTAAGTAACAAGATCCTAAACTGAAGTAAATAGATGGTAACAATTGTTGTAGTATAATAAAAAACATAATATATGCAATTGTGAATATACTCCTACAGTTCTACAGGAGATATTGAAAGAAAAGGTAAAAGGATATAATAAGAAATAATGGACATAAATGGATGTGGAGAAAGAAAAAAAGAAGAAGAAAAAAAATAAGTAAATAAAATTAGAAGAATAAAAAATAGAGACTTACAGGTGTGTTCAGCAAGGAGTTTCACTTAGAACTGGAAAACCAGAGTAAGTATTGGGAAATTTGCTGACCTGGTTGGGAAAAGTTGAAAGGGTAAGTAGTAAAAGTAAAACAAAACCTGTAAAATTACAGTACCTAAAATTTAAAGATATGGATGGATACAAGGGAAAATACTATATCTATGAAATGATAAATTATAAATATATACATATACATATAAAATAGAATTAAGAAATTATCGATAGGATAAGATGTGAATAAAAACAAAACAATGAAAAAAGTAAAATGTACATAGAAGTTAATTATAAATATAAAAATAAGAAATCATACATTGTAGAACTAATTCAGAAGTATAGAGAGCAAACAAATATGAATCATTACAGTTATACTTAGATGTGCTTATGTAAGAAGATTACATTTTTAAATATTAGATAATATTGAGACATAATGGTTAAAAGTAAAATGAATTCAAAGTAAAAATGGATGATCGTCCATTGATGATTTAGAATGTAAATATAAAAGAGAAATCATACAATGCGGAAATATTTAAAAATGATGAACGATTAAATTGAATTAATCAATAAAATTGAAAATAGATAAAAAATAATAAGATGTAATAAATAAGTTATTTTTCACTTATAAGATTTAAAATGTGTCTATATGTAAAAGATATGCAGTTTTTATCTACTTTATGATTAACAGGATTCTGTTCCATGTAATGTATGGATTCGGAAATGAGTCTTTGTTCATGGTTAGGAACCGTGCCAAGAATAGAGTTTATACAACTTATTCATTATACATACTTTGTTTATACAACTTATTGTTCTTAATATTTTAATGTACTTACTGTTTATAATTTTAATAAGTTTATTTACAGTGTTTATAATTTTTTATCTAAATATGATGTAACTTCTACAATTCTCTATATCTTTTCGTATCTTGTCCGTTCTAGCCCCTAGCCCTGAAGAAGACCTGCAACGTTGGCTTTTAATAAAATAGTTTTGCCACTATTTAGTCTATTTATGACCGCCACCCTGGACCATCTCCTTCTTTATATTTATAATGCAACGGTCAACTATTAAGTATTCAATTTGAAAATAAATAAAAAAATATTTTAATGGTGTGGAGATGGTTGATCGAGATTACAATACGATGTGTTGATCGGGGGCGAGGTCAAATACAATACTATAAAATAGTATTTTATTAGGCACACAGAAGTTTCGATACACGTTATAGGTCTTCATCAGGGCTACAAAATATAAATTGCTGCTCCCAGGCAAAAAAAAATAAAACAAATGAATTATTAGTAGATATTAAAGAAGTAGAAGTTCTTCGATAAAGAAATTACAGAAATTTTAAAATTACATCAGTGATGTTGCGAGTGTTAGTATATTTATAATAGAACATATTTATATACATATATATATATATATATATATATATATATATATATATATATATATATATATATATATATATATATATACATATAATTGACAATACAAAAGAAAAAAAAGATGAATTTATCATGTACGTAAGTTAAAATGTCAAACAAATTATGATAAAATAAGAATAAGAGAACAAAAAATTAAATCGAAAGACTAATAACATAACATAAGTTCTTTAGTGAGTTTTAGTCTCGTGAGTTATAGTTATAGTTTAGAATAAATTCATTCATATATATATAGGGGGCTGGCGTAGCCTTGCGGGCTAAGGCGCTTGCAATAGGTAATCAATATTAAGCAACGCCGAGCGTGGCTAGCACTTGGATGGGTGACCGTTAATCAAGGAAAGCTAAGATGTCGGAGATTCCTTAGCCCTCCTCCCCCTCCCGGTACGTGAGGCCCGTCACCCTACTGGAGGCAACTCACACAGACTGGGCGTAGGATTGATGACCCTACCCGCCGTTCTTTAAATCGGGAATCGGGATGTGGTCTAGGCGCCAACCGAAACAGAACAAAGAACATAATATATCTGTATGCCATACGAATATATATATATATATATATATATATTGGACTATACAAAAAATTAAAAGTGAAATTTAGTATGTAAGTTGAAATGTAAATAAAGTTGTGAAGGATAGTACATCTTATATATAAATGACAATTGACCTTCAGTTCTATGAAATCGGTAGTGGAGTAATAGGATATATGAAGAGGATAGATATATCCACTACCGATTTAGAGGCGTAGGAATGTGGTGACCCCATCGCCCGGTCTCAGTACCGCAGTTAACCACCAGCACTCCAGGTCTGTGTTCACTCACTATCACACACACCGTACACAAACACTGTGTGTGTACTGTGTACTGTACACTAGGTCATCTATAGTACACACCTTAGGATCATCTTACCTAGGAAGCCGCTCCGAAGAGGGTGTCTTTCTGCAGAAACAAAGGTGGTAGCCCCGGCAGCAGGATAGGCTAGGTAGTTCGGGTTGATGGCCCCACTACCCGAAATTAACCAATCAGGAAACATAAAACAACCTTGGAACTTAATATTAAAAACGGAAACAACCTGGCAACCCTAGGCTTAACTTTAACATAGGATACTGGAATGCTCTTAGTCTCTACAGACCCGGAGCACTGAAATTGCTCTTAGAACTGATATCATTTAGACATCACTGCCATCCGGGAAATCCGATGGACAGGTCAGGGAATCATTGAAAAAAAGCTCCACACCATTTACTACAGTTGCAGTGAGAGGACTCTCATCCTCAAGGGAACATGGAAAACACCTGACTGGTCAACATTCTAACAAATTGATCATATCCCTATCGATAGGAGGCACATGTCCAATCTCCTCAACAAAAGAGTATTCAGAGGGACGAATGTTGATTCCGATCATGTTTTAAGCATCGTCCATTTCCGAGCACGGATAGCGCTAAAGAAAGCAAGTGTATTACAATATGAACTAAATAACAAAATAATTTAAAGGATCTAATAATGCTCGCACAATATGAATCGGAACTGGATTCGGCAGCTGATGTTCTGGAGCGCGACATCGACACCGCATCTGCATACTCAGGGGCTATATCAGATACAGCCACTAAACTGTTTAGAACACAAGGGAGGGATTCAAGATCTCCATGGTTTGACGAGGAGTATAAGAGAGGAACACGTTTGAAGAACGAAGCATTTAAAGCTAAGGTTCAGCGCGAGACCAGGAGTAATGCCAAATCATATAGAAAGAAGAGGCGAATGGAAAAACGTATAATATAGAAATAGGAAATCATTTTTATTCTGGGACTAGGTCCCTTAATAACAGTATTTTTCACATAATTTAACAATAAATCTTGCCAAAAGACCTATGTCAATAAAGAATAACTAAAATAATAGTAATAAATTAAGAATAATAGCTCTTAGGATATATTAACAAAAATAGTTGGGTAATAGGGTTGTAATAGTACAACATGGAGCTAAAACAATAACATAATAATCACTAAATGAAATTAGAAAGGAATGCTAAATCAATTTTATAAGCAAGGCATTGTAGTGAGAGAATATAAAAATTAAAAAAGATATAACTGTTGATATATAAAAAAATAAATTGTAAAAAAAAAAATGATTTACATATGTTTCCTAAGATGTTTAATTGAATACACGTAAAGATTAGGAGAAGAAAAAAATAAAATAAAGTATATATATTGCTATGTATTGAAAATAGCCAATAAAGTTTTTCTAATTGTTATGTGCGGAAGACAGAGTTGAACGAAACCGACTTCTGCCATCAAAAACAGCGTCAAGGTGAAGGAGCAGGTAGATAAAGGACCGACCTGTACCTGGACCTTGGGGAAGGCTTAGAGTAAAAGCTAGTAACTGGCTAAGTAACTGGTTCCTTTTAGGGTGTTACCAGTCATTGTGGAGTAATAGGATGACGTTAAGAACCAATGAGAACCATTCTTCCCCCACCTTGAATATTTTTATAACATCTACTGAGAAGGAATAAAAGAGGTTTATGTTGATCTCCGGCCTGGAGGAAAGGACTTCTGTTGATGTCCGGCCTTGAGGATAGGTCTTGTGAGGATGCCCGGCCTTGAGGATGGGTCATTTGTTTTCTTCCGGCTTGGGACTGAAACCTTGGCCCTACATAGACCATGATGATCCTGGCAGAGCTTTGTACCATGACGAGATGATCTCAACTTAGCAGATGCAGCGATGAAACCTACCAACCACACCACTTCATAGATAGTATATAAGTTGTAATTCCCAATCCTAATGTTATAATATTTCATGGCAAAAATTCTCAAAATAGTCCATCTGAAATCATCTCTTCTCAGTTAATTATTAAATTCATTGAATCACGTATTTTGTTTTTGAAAATAAAATCTGTATATATTCTTTATTAAACATAGAAATAAATTAAGTTTTTTAGTAAAAGATATTTTAATTCTGTCACCATGTATTTATATCATGATGATCACAGGTAATGTATGTAATTAGAAAGCATGATAAACACAAACCAGCCCTTGAGAAAAGAAATCCAATTAATTAATTCTGGACCAACCAATATATTATAGATACAAATTTATTTTACTAATTTTTATTAATTGATTTTATTAAATAATTCTGAATAATTATCCTCAATAATTATCAAGTGGCATCCCGAATAAAATTAAACATCACAAAACACCCCAAGCATTTTTAATGTCATCCCTTTTTTTGGGATAAGACATAGCAATATATATATATATATATATATAGGCGCTTAGAGAGGAGTATGTCGTAGATAAGTAGAAAATATATATATTAACATAATACTCAAAGGTCGATTGGAGAACTTTTGTAATATTATATACGAATATATATCTATATATATGTGTGTGTGTGTGTGTGTGTGTGTGTGTGTGTGTGTGTGCGTGCGTGCGTGCGTGTGTGTGTGTGTGTGTGTGTGTGTGTGTGTGTGTGTGTGTGTGTGTGTGTGTGTGTGTGTGTGTGTGTGAATGTGTGTATATAATTAAGATTATAATACTTTTAAAAGTTTTAATTAAGAAAAAATCCGTCCATGAATGTTTACAGAACATTATTAATATGACTTAAGTTATGTCTAAATTAATAAAATTCAATTCCGAATGAAAACATTAATTTACAGGCAAACTTTATGCATATTGTTTACTAATTGTTTTTTCAAAACTGACTTCAAGTGGTAACTAGTTTGTTTTCCATTATTATTTATTTCATTCATGTTTTAAATTATATTAACATTTATTCTTAAATATATAAGGGCAGCATCTTACTATAAATTACATAGGAATCATATTAATCATGATGCAGCACATTCGACTAATTATTTACTATTTGCTGATTACACATGAACTCTATTGTTGCATAATTATTTCCAAGGCTATGAAGAGACATAAACATATATTGGTTTTATAATAGGGGACTGTACCAGAAATTATCACTTATCGTAGCGATATCAATCATGAAGGTATTCCTTGTAACTCTCCTCGTCGTCGGCTTGGCCGCTGCTGCTCCTTGTCCTAAGTGCATCGTCAAGAACTTGAAGGCCCAGCTCCAACAGGACGTAGAGGACATCGAGACTCACACCAAGCAGTTGATCCAAGATTTGTCTACTCACTTTAAGGAAGACATCGCCGCCTTTGTGAATAACCCTCTTACAGGTTCGGCAGCCCTTGTCAAGGATCTCTCCAAGGATGCCCGAAACGTTGTCCTTACAACTATTTCTGATGTCAACAAAGTGAATGAACACATCAGGACAGCCATCAATGTGAGTAAATGAAAAAAAAAAATTAAATAAGCTAGAGACATTAAGCCGCGAAAAATCTTCTTTTCCTCTTCTATTCGCCTCAGAGTAGATGAGTCTTTAACCACCGAAAGCAGTTCTTTCGGTTATGTATTAAGCTTCGATATCTCTTGACCTTCCATTATTTATCTTGAGTCTGTGTTCCCAAGCATTCCGTATATTTGTCCAAAGCACTGTAGTTGTATGGGAAGTGATTTTCAGCGGGAATTTTGCCAACTGCTCCATTCAAAACTTCATTTCCATCGCGATCAGACCGCTGATGTGTCTGTCTGTTACCCAACTCTAAGGCCCATACAACAGCATCGACAGATAGAAAGCTTTGAAGGTGTGGAGCTTAATCCTATTGGTAGTCTCAGTATTGCTTACTATAGTCTATTTTATTATATTAATGTATACTATACTATAATACTATAATAGTATACTATAATAATAGTAAATCTTATTTGCATTTTCAAATCTACTTGACAGTTCGTGGCCTTCGTTTGAAAAGGTTTTAACTGCATTTACTGCATTTTGTCAAAGGTTCAAAATTTACTATTGTAGAAATATTTTGTTACTTACACTAATAATTTTGACTGTACAATACATTGTAGCAGTGGACATGCATTTGTATTCGTTGACGACTTAATTGTACCATATATTAATATCATTTTTAATATTGAAATTTGTCATTTAGAGCTTTACCGTATCAGAATGAATATGCGCGGTATAAGAACTTATATGACGATATTTTATCTATATTCATGAAGGAAGTATTTTATCTTGTCTTTAAATATTTTACAATCAGACTCCCAATCGGCTTCGTGAGAAGACAAAATGAGCAGACAGAACTGGTTTTTAAATGACAGATATGATTTTTGGTACATGGTTTCGTTAATTATTTCCAATAATAAATCTGTGTATTTATTAATTCATAATCGACACGCCAGTTTAAAACCATCGCTCTTGTGGTTTTAATTTAAGAAACAGGATAGAAATAAATATATTTTTTTCTTGAAACAATAGTAGAGTAAAATGTTCAAAAATATTTTTTGATTATCTAATGATGCATTTCTAAAACCTGTTATAAATAAATAATATAATTGTTTTTCTAATAATTTACTAATAATATAAACAATATAATTTCATATTTAACTCTGATTAAAATCATTCTCAAACTAATGACTTTCAAAAGTTTTCTGTAGTTACAAGCATGTCGCACTGCTAGTTTTTTTATTTTTCAACTTATGGCACTAAAATTCATTTGGGACATAAGATAAATTTGTTGTGAATGATTTCTGAGCGAAATCTCAATTTTCCCGATGTTGTTAGTTAAAACCTTTTCAAACCAAGCCCACAAGTTCTTTGTCTATGCTGGCAGTTTTGCAAATATATGTACCTAAAGGGAAGTATTCGTCAATAATTTCAAGCTCATCGCCGTTATAAAAGAAATGATAAAGAAAATCTTTATCCTAAAAATCACTACTTTTCATTTTGTGTAGTTTTATTTTATAATAGTGTATTAGCAATAAATAGATAATCTTGAATTCGTTAAATTAACATTTTTCTTAATTCGGAATTTTTGAAATTCATCGATTAAATTTCGTCCAAAAATATCCGTTTTTCTCGAAAATTTTTATTTTATTTATTTATTATTATTTATGAAATTTAGAGCTGTACAAATGAATATACATTCAGCAAATGAAATACATGACGTGACAAGGCTTGTAGGGAATCTACCCACTGGTGGCACTCTAATAAAATATCTAAATTAGGAGATCACGAGGATATCTTCTTTTCAGACGCCTAGGAGGGCTATCAGGGATTGAGGATGAAGCAAGGTTAGAAACGAGAGGATTAGGATGGTTCTGAAGTTTATTATGGAAGATATTGGGCCAAATCAGAAATATATGTAACATTAAGGACATTATGGATTATTTTATTAGGAGCATTAAGGATTTTACGAATGCAAAGATTGGATACGAGAGGACTTTGATGGTTTAGTGAAGTCCGGATAGGTCTTATCATGTATATGAGTCTTTTGTAATTAATTGCAAGATTAGAGCGCTGAAGTAGTCGGAAACGTAGAGCGGTTTCTTACCGTTTCAGTTTGGTATGAGGATTCCAAGTTAGACGTTTGTTCAGGTGGAGTCCTAGGTATCGAATTTGTTTAACAGAGATAAGTGGGGTATTCTTAAAGGATACTGTAGGACTGGAAGTCATAAGTTTACGAACATTTTTGATTCATTTTTAGTTTGGCACAATTTTTAGGGACTGTTCGCTACAATTTCAATAACGTTAAATAAAAAATTATTATTGTAGGCGGAATTCATAAATTTGCATTTAATTTACTTGTTGAAAAACATTTACGAAATTAAATTTTCAGTATTATATTATAACTGTTTTATCGATTATTCTATTTAGGAATTAAAACAATTTGACGCGGGCCCATTGAAGGAAACCTTGAGCAACCTCATACAAAACCTGGTTGGAGCCTCCAGGGAAGCCAGGTCCAACGTGTACCAACTTCTGAAGCTGACCCCTTCCTACGTCCTAGATGACGTCATGGCACTACTTTCAGACCCATCTGGTGCCCCCCAGGTCATCAAAGAGCACTGGTACCAACACTTCAACCAATTCGTCAGCCAAGGAAAGCTGTTTGCTGGCACAGTCAAAAAAGAGATCCAAGACGCTCTTGAAGTAAGTAACTCCTAATTTTTACTTTCACTTACCTATATTTGTAATATATAGTAAGAAAAAGTATTGCATCATCATAATTTTGAAATCTCATTTTTCATCGGAAATACACGTTTTGAATTCTTCTGAATCCAAATAACCAAAAAAGTTATCTGAGCCAATTTAAATCAGTCCATTGTTTATATGCAGTTTTTTGGAGTCTGCTATCACTCCTATAAAATTTTCCTGCTATTTACGGGGCACCATATATTTATATATATTTGTGAAAAACCTTTGTAAGATTTGTCACTGGAACCCGAGACGTTCCCGTGTTTCTCACCACTATGGCTCCACTAGGGTGGCTCTTCCCTTCCTTCCGAAGGCAATATTTCCTGGGCACATTCCTTTACCAAATAATCAATAATCATCGTCCGTCCTACGCATAAAATCTTATACAATTCAAATCATCAATCCACACCCTCTCCACAAGATCCCGTCCTTCTGACCTTTACACTCCTTTACACAAATCTGCCTCATTTAAACATTCCTTTGTTATCCGTTCCACTGCATTCTGGAATTCCATACCATTAAAAATCCGCCATGCACCATCCTTATCCACATTTAAAACCCTCTTATTCCAATTCCTCTTCACAATTCGATCAGATGCTGGCTAAATATATATTATGCAACAAGGTTTTAATGTTCTTTATATACATTTTTTTTCTTCTGTTTTGAGTGTGAAACAGAATTTCGATCACCTCTCACAAAGCAGTGTGAGTAGGTATAATTTTTTATTGTTTTTGTTAGCTTTTATCTTTTCTATTCATAAGAGTGTATTTTTTTGAAGTGTATTTTATTTTATTAAAAAGTATTTTATTTTTTACTTATCTTCTGCACTCTCCTCTCTATGTCGGTATGTATATATATATATATATAGAGTATGTATATTTATATATGTATGTGTTTGTTTTTTCTTTTTCTGCTCGTAATCTATTGCGTATAGCTAGATCACAATACTTGTCTACTATTTTACAATACCTTCACAAGTTTTCACGTAAACGTCTTAAGGAACATATATAAATCATTTATTTACTCTAGTTATTTTCTTTTATTCTTATTTTTATTTATTTATTTATAAGTAAGGTTTTATTATTTTGTAGCACTAAAATTGGTTGCCTATAAGACTTATTTAGCATTTCTTACCAATTTTATTTAGTTATAAGTATGTTGTTGTTTTTTGTACTAATATTATAATATTGTAACCGTTGTACCCATCCGCTTTCCTTAATATATCCTCCAAAACTATATATGTACACATTTTATTACTCAGATTGTAGTTACTCTTTATTATAATTGGTCATCTGTCCAGATTTATTGTCAATTGGTTTAAACAATATTTTTATTCTCAAGAGACCTAGTCGCAGAATAAAGATGATTTTTCTATTAAAAAAAGAATCAGTAATGAATCATTTATTGTTTCAGAAACTCAACAAACAGATTGAATAGTAAGGCGTTTCCTGGTTACTCCAATAGAAGAAATATATATACGAAAAGTACAATTATAACTTATTGATATCAAACAAATTTTGTTTTTAGCCTGTATTGTATGCCCTTAATGTCTTATTTTAAGTCCTGAGCCATTTCTTAAGAGCCATATCAAGGATATAAGCTCTTAATCATCTAATAATAGGACACACGGTTCGGGATGTCGACGGCAAGCTATCTTAAGACATCCTCACGCAAAGTACCAACATTATCAAGGAAGAAGATGGTCCGGGGTTGCGGTCATAAATAGTGGTAAAACTATTTATTAAATATTCAATACCAACATTATCCTTCGCGAATATGCTGCATGACTTTAGCCCAGTCAATGAACCTCATTAACCATTGTTTGAAATGAGCTAATTCTTCATCCTCAGAATATTAGAGTTCAGATTTCTACAAAATTAATTTTCTATAACCGTACAGGTAAGTAAAAAAAAGCTATACTAAAACTCTAAATACAACAAATAAAAATATTAATAAAAAATACTTACGTCTCATGAGCTGGTGCATTACAACCATTTCCTAAAGAAATTCGTTTATCTTTGGGAAACAAGGAGTTGTAAAATCAGAAGACAGTGGATTAAATGTTTAAAAAAATAATTGGGAATAAATTATTTTATTCAATATAGTGATATATTCTGAATTAGATTTATTATAAAATTGTCGGTTTAAAATTATTTATTCTACAATATTCTCTATCATTACAGATCAGAGAGAAGCATCTAAAGCCTTTCATGATGGCGATACATGACACAATGACATGACAGGCTTGGGGAAGGAAAGTACTGAGCAGTACCTCTTCCCTAATTTGTTCCTATTACTTAAGTTGTTTAAGGAATGTGATCTCTCATTCAACGCCATTTTAGTCTCATGTTCTGGGGTATATCAGCTGTGGCCATGTCTCTTATTATTCTGTTATTATATTCATTTAAATTTGTGTAAAAACGTTGATACTGAAAGTTCATTTTAGAGGCTATTATAGCTCACTAGTGGATTGTAGCTAATATACAAGAAGTATATACATAGTCAGAACTTTTGACTATTCCATCTACTGTGTATATTAGTTGATTTAAAATTTCATATTTATATATTTAATCCATCTTATTCTTGGCGTCATTAAACGTCTTAGTGTTTTTCACTATCATCCATCGTTAGTATCTTGTGTTGTTATCAAGAAATTGACTTAAATGAAAATAAAGAATGAACATAAAATGAAAATCTAATGTATATATGTGTATATATATATATATATATATATATATATATATATATATATATACAGTTTCAGAAACTAATACACTACTAAGTAACTAACTAACTAAGACATTAAGGGACATATATATATATATATATATATACAATTAAATAATCTTCAACGCTAAATGACTTTAAAAAAAAAAAACTTTATTGGAAAATGACAGCAAATATAATATAACTGGTCTAATTTCTATCTAAAATAATAACTAGTCTACTTCCTAAGTGAATTATGAATATTGAATATTGTCTCACGCTAAGAGGAGATCGTATTTATAAGGATAAGGAAAGGAAATGAGTCAGTGCTGACATTGCACCAGCGCATACCTTTAAGTATATATATATATATATACATGTAATGCAATATAAGAGATACTTAAATCAAAGTTCAAAAAATATTATTATATAAAATTATGTAATGATTTAGAGGGTCGGATTCATACTTAAAAAAGGGGAAATCCAGTTAATTCCAAATTTCAACTTTTTAGGAAAGGTAAGACGCATTAAAAAAAATAATAAAACGCATTTTTTACTATATTGTGAGCATATTTTTAAAAATATTAATCAGTTGCGAGTGTCTCACTGTGGAGTATATCCCAATAGTGGGACAAATTAACAATTAACCACTGTGCGAAAATTTTGAAAATTAAAAGAATGGTGAATCAAAACGTTGTGTACTTACGCAGTTACACTTTGGTACTAACAATATCTATTCGATTCTAATTTTCATATCCAATTTTAATTCAATTCCAATTTTCGTTTTAAATTACGTCAGTAATAGAAACTAATTTTTTTTTTACATAATTGATTATGCTCATAAATCATCACAATGGCAATAAAAATTGTTTTTTCCAGTTGATGATTTTTTATTTTCTTAATAACTGTTTTGTTATGGACCTTTTATAGAAGTTTAATTGAATATTTTAGTGGATTTTTAATTGCATTTTTAATTTAATAACCCCAATCGAATTGATTGGATTCAAGTAAAGTTGATTATGTACTTATATTAATGTAAACATTTTTATTTAAAAAATAATAATAATTTATCTGCAATTTTCTATACCTATCATTTACAATTCTTTTTCTCTTTGAAAACGTCGAAAACTGACTTAATGTCGGAAATTCTTTTTATTATTGTTATTATAGAGAGAAAAACTTTATTCTGGGACTAAGTCCCTTTAGAATAACAAAATTGTACGAAAGAATAGAATACTACTTATATAAATACACAATATATTAGTTTATATATATATATATGTATATATAAGGTATACACAATATATTAGTTATAGTTTAACTAAAAATCTTGTACTTAAATTGTTATCTTAATCATAACTATAATTATATCACTAAAATATAATAATTAATATATTGTATTCAAGGGAATAATGTCTTTTTGTTTTGTTTATTGAAAATATTACAATCTGTCTCAAAGGACATTTATAATAGTGTTCAGAAATCACATTCACACTCAATGTACAATAATAATAATAATATATATACAATACATAAGTATAAAATAACCTAAAAATAAATAAATAAAAAAGAACATATACATACCTATATACAATATTTACAAATAGGCGAGAGAACTTTGAGCCAGACTTGTCTCTCCAACTATGGAGGGAAAAGTATGACTCCAAGAGATCCCTGCGCTTCTCTCTCAACCGCGTCACTGGGGTAAATCCAGTGGAGATTGAGCAAGAGTGCTTTCGCCAAATTCACTTATGTCGTGAGTGAAGAATTTGGCTATTGCCAAAACTCTGATGATAGTTAAGATTATGGTGAAATTTGGAGAATTTTGCTGGGATAAGGTCTTGGACAAATGGGATATTAAGGTCATGATATGGTGTAAGGTTTTGTTGGTTACATAGACAGGAGCATCGACTATTGTTCGAAGGACTTTGGACTGGAAGGATTGGATGCGTTTGATTTTTAGAAATTTTTTCTGTTCCTCACAGTTCAAGTCCGTAAGTCCAGATAGGCTTCAGTATTGTCTTGTAGATAAGTATTTTGTTTTCAATAGAGAGTTTAGATTTTCTATTTAGTTGTCTGTATAGTTGGCCGTTTCGTCGGCCAAGTTCCTGTCTTTTCAGTCTAGTATGAGGGTTCCACGTTGATCGTATGTCTAAGATAAAGCCAAGATACCGGACTGTTTCTGAGAAAGGAAGCTGGATGAAATTAAAGTGTACTGATGGACAGAAACTGCGTCGCAGTGTAAAGGTAATGTGAAGGCAGTTGGATTCGTTTACTTTAATACACCATTTACAACACCAGTGCTCAATCAGGGAGAGGTGTCTCTGAAGGTTTAAGGATGCTATATCAGGATCTGAGTCGGATGATAGAATGGCGGTATCATCAGCAAAAGTTGCGAGTTGGTTAGCAATTGGAAAATTCATTGCCGCAGCGAACTCGGAAGGTACAATCAGAGAGGTAGGAGTGGAGGATAAGGCATAAAGACTGGGGCAGATGGGTTTTAAGTTTGAAAAGAAGCCCGGCGTGCCATACGTGGTCAAAAGCTTGAGCTATGTCCAGAAATGCACCCGAGCAATATTGCTTGCTTTCCAAGGATGAGGAAATCCAACCTGATGTGATGGAAGATTTTGAGATTCTGTAAAGTGTAGGATTGGTTTCAGGAGGATCTTTTCAAGGATTGGAAGTATGCTAATGGGTCTGTAGGAAGTTAAGTTGTTGGGAGCTTTGCCTGGTTTTGGAAATATAATAATAGTATAATGTTTCCATAAAAGAGGAAAGTGGGTGGTTCGTAGGATGGTTTTGTACATGTATGTAAGGAATATGACAGCTTAGGGGGTCTGAGGATCTGAGAGGTAAGAAGGTCGTAACCAGGTAATTTACAGGCAGGTAGTTTTTGAAAATGATATTTGACCTCAGAAGGATTAACTGCTTTAGGCGGAAATGAGAGTGGGATGGGTGAATTAATTAATTCCTCGACTGCTGGCGTGTGGGTGATTTTGGATTTCGGATGAGAGGTAAATGTAATGGAAAGATTTTTGGCGAATTCCTTGGGTCTATCTTCATCAGAGGCTGCCTAAGAACCATCACCTCGACGGAGAGGATGTGAAATATGATGGGATTTTAGGATTTGTTTAGTGGTCTTCCATAGGGAATTGTCATGAGCAGAGAGGGAAGTAAGGTAGGAGTTGAAGGATTGGGATCTGAAGGTGACCAATTCCTACTATAATGTTTTGCAGAAATAATTATAGGATTGACGATCGATGGGGTGTCTAGTAAGTTGCCATAATAGTCTGGCACGGCGTTTGGTGTAGATTAGGTCTATGAAGTGTTGAGATTTTTTTCTTGAGGACTGGTTTGGAGAGGAAGCAGTCCAGATTGCTTGTTGAATAGTCCTTCTCTGTTTGCTATTTACATTAATTGCCTTCCTCTCCTGATCCGTCAATCCCAATATCATATCCACGCTGATGATTTCCAAATATACCTGCCCTTCCCGACCTCCGTCCTATTATCAGCCACAAACTTCAAGAAGACTTGGATAAGATTTGTGACTGGGCGAGAGCCAACAAGTTGAAGTTGAATACGGAAAAAACAAAGTCAATCTTAATTGGCTCCAATTACCTCCTTAAAACTATTTCACACATTCCAACTCTTTTCCTACATGATAATCCCATCAAATTTAATCCCTCTATCAAAAACCTTGGAATAACCTTCGATCAAACGCTTTCCTGGCAAAACCATGTATCCAACATCTCCCGCCGGACCATTCCACCTTAAAACGCCTAAACCACTTCCGTCACTTATTTCCCCTTGAAATCCGAAGATTCCTGATCACTTCCTTAATTTTTCCCCACTTT